GAAAATTTCGTAGGATGAAACATTCGTAAGTAGAGGTTCCACTGTATTGGCTGAGCTGGCTCTGATCACATTAGGCAAAGTGATGAAAAAAGCTGATTGTGTTAGAACAGGATGATCTAGCCATTTGATAAAGCAATTCAATAATCATTGCCCCAAGTGTGCCACTACAGGAAAGGTGGATAAAGTGCAACCAATAAACCTCATGCAGCTCTGGTCTTATTTAATGGCTACCAGGCCCCTGAATACTTTCTTTTAAAAATGCCCAAACAGGCTGGCTTCAGGTACTACTCTGTATTTTTACCCTCCCCCAATCCATTCCAGGACATACAGTCCTTTGGGGATCATGTCCTGTTAGATAAAAGGTCTTTCCTGACCTAAAATGACCCAAAAGAGCCAAAAACATGGCAAAATTGACCCTGGAGAGTCCTTGTCCTAATAGTTGACCACACCTTAAGTACAGGATGTTGAAAACAAAACAGTAAGAGCTGTTTGACAGTGGAACATGTTGCCTCAGAAGGTGGTGGAGTTTCCTTCTTTGGAGGTTTTTAAATGAAGGCTGGATGACCATCTGTCACAGGGAGTGCTTTGATTGTATCTTCCTGCATAGAAGGATGGGATTGGATGGCCCTTGGGATCTCTTCATACTCTATGATTCTAGTGTTTTGCTAAAACAGCTCCACATACTGCTGTGTGACTGTAGTTTTTCTAAGTTGGAAACATTTTTCTCTTTCACTATTAGAAAAGTAATGGGATGTTGCTTCCTGCTCACTTACCTGCTTTACGTTGTATCCTGCCTTTGCACTAGTTTCAATAAACATTACATTCAGCTCTTTGGCTTTCCTCTCCCCTTCCTCAATAGATACTTGCCTGGAGAAAAATGGGGAAAAAAAGACAGGGTGTAAGAAAACACTGCAGGAACTTACAATCCTGGCTGTTCTCCAGTACTCCTACCTCCCAGGAGTTAGAACTACCACCTCTCATATTCTGGGCGATTCATGCCAGATGCCTCCCAATAAGAAAGACAAGACTGACTTGTGTTTATTGCACTGACAATGTACATGGTACTTTATAAAGTCAGGACCCTGGCCTCAAGAATCTAAGTTTTTGCAGAGGAGAAACCACAGTCAACAAAGAATGTATATTTCATGTGGGGAAGTGGAAATGGGAGGCAAGCCATAGGTGCTGAATTACTGTTTGAGGGAAGAGCAAATTGACACTAAGCAGGTCCTTTGGGAGAGAGTTCCAGGTATACAAGACACCAAGGAAGAAAAGGGAAATATGAAGTCGTAGGCTTTCATAGCTAGCATCCATAGTTTTTTGTGGGTTTTTTCGGGCTGTGTGGCCATG